ACAATCATGTAAATATGCAAATCAAATATAATCACATAAATATGTTAGTAATATAATCATGCAATTATGCACACAATAAATATAAAAATATGTAGTTAGATATCATTCAAAATTAATATAATATCATATTATGCAATAAATATAAAATAATGCAATAATAGTAATGAATAAATAACCATGCAAATAGACATATTATTAATCATACAATCACACAAATGAATATATATAATCACACAAATAACAATATAAATCATGCAATTAAATATATAATCATGCAATTAACAACATAAAACATGCAAATAAATATTTAATCATGCAATTAACAACATAAAACATGCAATTAAATATATAATTATACAATTAACAATATAAAACATGTAATTAAATATATTATCATACAGTTAACAATATAAAACATACAAATAAACATATTATGCAATTAATGATACAAAACATGCAAATAAATATATTATCATGCAATTAAATATATAATAATACAAATAATAATATAAATCATCCAATAAACATGCAATTAAATATATAAAAATAATCATGCAATCACACAAATAAATAAATTGATAATCATGCAAATAAATTAATAATCATGTAAACATATTAATAGTCATGTAAACATATTAATAAATCACATAAATATATTAATCATGTAAATAAAATATTAGACAAATAAATTATCATGCAAATATAATATTAGTCATGCAAATTCATGCAAAAATAAATACCATGAAATAAATATAAAAATAAAAGTAAGTAATTAAATATTATAAAAGTTATGCAAAAATCACAAAAGAAAAATATGAAAGCAAACATTACCTCAATGGATCATGGGTTCCAACAAATTTTCACCTTTCCAAAATTGATGTTTCATACTATAAATGTTAACCTTTCTTCCAAAAACTCCAACTGGATCTTTTGCAAAATTTTTTGTTTGATTCCTTTTTCCTTGTTGATTCAAACCTTTTATTCAAATTTTCTCTCATTTCAATGACCTTTGTTTAATCTTGAAATCAATTGCTGTTAGGCTCCCTCTTTTGATCTTAGATTCCATGTCCTTATATAGGGATTGAATTTCTTTCGACTTTCAAGAAATTAATTCAACCGAATCTAGGATTTCTTTCCAATTTTTTTCTTTATGCAATCTTCGCTTTTTCAATAGATTTGGCGTTAAGTTTTTCCAAAATTATTCAACCATGAAAGTTGAAATCTGTGATAAAATCCAAAAGTTTAATTGAATCCAAGATTTTTTATACGAAATCCCATATTTTTCTTTTTTACTCCTTTTTTTATTTTTTTTTACCAATTGACTTTGACTCTTTTAGTTAAAAAAAAAATTAAACTAAAAAATTAAAATACAAATAAAATTTAGGGCTTAATCTTTGGTTCCAAAATTAACTTTTTCGATTAAACTTAATTGCATAATCAAAATTAAAATTCGAAGCCAATGAATTTAAAAAACTCTTGGACAAAATAGGATGTTTACAGACAACTTCAAGCAAATAAAAAAAAGGTCAAGGGTCAGTTGAGGGCTAAGGTAGAGGAAGTTTGCAAATAGGCGAGATCAGACGATGGTAAAGGGCCCTGAATTAGTTGCATACTTGCATAACAATTAAACTAATCAGTCCATGAGTGAGAAGATCTGTTTATAAATTTAAATAAGAGACACATAGAGAAAGAAATGCAAGTGAATTCTGGTTTAGTGGTGGGTTCTCACAACTTGAACGAGCTCCTAGTTATTTGTCGTGATAGGGACTCTTCTGTAAGTTGTGTGCATATATATATCAAACACACTTGCACTTTTTTTTTTTTTTGCTTTTGAATTACAAATTTCAGGAAAAAATGAGAGCGAATGGTGTGGCAGAGAAAAAGGTGGGAATGTTTAAGTGGCCAAACATGTTACATATGCGGAGATGATGTAGGACTGACAGCCGCCTGCAATGAGTGTGCCTTCCCCATTTGTCGAGCTTTGTTATGAAATTCAATAAGTTAGGAGGATGATAAAGGAATGTAATATTGAAATGGTGTTGTTGCAGGAAACTGAATAGGTTTCTTGTGATATTGGAATTGCTGAGAAGATCTGGCTTTTTTTTTTTATGGGGATCTAGTCTTGCTGAAGGAACATCGAGTGGATTAATAATGATTTGGGAAAAAATTTAACTTCAGTGGTGATCAAGAACAGATTTGTGTACTGGTTTATGAGTATGCCCCCAATGGCCAGGATGAAAGAAGAGGTGAAGGAGTGAACTGGTTGCGTTGAAGCATGAAATGGGAGGAAATAAGTGCGTGGCTGGCTATTTTAATACTATAAGGTGTTCAGATGAGAGGAGGGGGTGCACTTCCGATGGAGTTGGAATGGCTGATTTAAATGAGTTCATTCAAATGGAGGAGCTTCTGGACTTATTCAAATGGAGCAGATATCTATTCAAGGGAATGGAATTTTCGAATTAGATGATAGTTTTTGAATGTAAAATGAACTATTAAAGAAGTTGCAAGACATTGCAATCGAAGGTGCAGTAAGGACCAACACAAAGGACAATCTAGTGTGGGAACTTGATAGAAATGAAAATTCTCAGTAAAGCAATTTGTGTCTTTCATGGATAGTTTACATCTTTCTTTCGATCAATAGATTTTATGGTGGCTATTAGCTACGTATGTTATAAGGATTCTTGACTTTGGAAACAATAAATGGTCTTTGTTGAGATTGATAGATTAAGAAAAGTCTTTGGGGTGGTTGACTTTGTTCACATGTAAAGAGAAGCTAACTATTTTGTAGACTGTTTTTCTTCATGCTTGACTATTTATAAACCAGATGATGCGATTGATGGAGTCTGACAATTTTCGTCAACACAATCTACTGGAATTGATAACAACAATGCAGATTATGGATTAAAGGATGTAGCAGCACAATGACATATTTTTCAAGAGTTATATTATAAATTTTATGGATTTTAGTACTATATTTTATAGATTTTAACTTTATAATTTGGATTGTTTTAGAATTTTTTTTGATATAAACTTTATGATGTGGATTTGATCTTTTAATGAATAATAGACGAATAATAGATTGCTAAAATAATTTTATTTTTAATTTAAAGATTAATTAAATAATTATAGATGAAATTAATCAAATTATCAATGAAATTTAAATTTTACCAACAAATTTTATCAATGGAATTCTCGCTTTTAGCAACGAAAATAATAAATTATCTATGGAATATTGATGGATTATTGATGAATTTTATCAACGAAGTGTTGATGCAATTATCAATGGAACATTTATTGACGAAATATTTACTAATGAAAATTTTCATCTATAAATTTCATTGATAAAATATTTACCTATAAAATTTAAGTTATTATTAATAGAAAATTTCGTTGATAATATGGTATTTTCTGATAGTGCATTGAAAAAGAAAACTCACAAAAAGTTGCAAAATTACAGCACTATTAGCTGTGGTATCCGCTTGAAATAAATGGATTTTATGTGTTGAGTGGTTTATATCACGGCCAAAATGACACAAAAAAGAGGTCTAACCGTGTACGTTAGGAAGTATCCACGTGAAATAAATGTTGGAAACCCCTCAACGCCTTTCTTTTTTGTGGCTTCATATTCCTAATTAGAAAAAAGAAAAAAAAAAGGGAAGTGGTACTTGCATGTGCAATTTGAGCGTGATTAAAATGATATGACAATTGCTTTTGATTAATTTGTTTATTTTTAATTTTAAACTTTGAGATTTGAACTTCTAATTAGGTAGTTTGTTTCTTCTTGATTCGTCACTGCCATCGTTCTGAAGTGTGAAAACAGGTTTCTTCTTGATTCGTCACTATCATAGTGTTGAAGTGTGAAGAACGGTCTTTGGTTAACTTCTTTTTTATTGGACAATGTGGATGGAAGGTTATCCTTCAATAGCCTGAATTAATCGAGGAAAAAGATTGGATACTGGTTAGCTGTTTTGATGGGCGGATCGTAGAATTGTTGTGTTCTTTAATTACTAGCCTCTTGGAATTATTGTAGATTATCTCTGTGCGGAATTCTTGTTTCATGTTGATTTACTAAAACCTTTTTGAAAATCATTACTGTCAAAATCTTTGCCTTGTATTCTTACTGGGAATTGCTTCTATTGGCTGTCTTAACTTGAATTTTGGGCTTCCTTTGTTTTCAACCCCATCGATCTTGATTGCTTCTACTGTTATCTAGGTTTAATTTTTACTCTGTATTAATGTTGATTGCTCATTGCCTTTCTGAATTGATTCTCAGTTTTTAGTTTCTAAAGGTGGCCTAACTATGGACTTGACTTTGACTAGAGATTCAATTTGCATGCCCAACTGAGTCTTTGTTTGGGATCGCTTGAGGCTGGTGTCGCGGCCTCACTCGCTTCTATGTTTGACCCCCCCCCCCCCTTTTGTGGGCTTCCAAGACTTTGTCAAAAATTTTTGCCTTTTATGATCTTGATTTGCTGTTGTTCGGCCTCCTTATGTCTCAATTTGTTGATCAGTGCTTATTTAAAACTAAATTGTTGTGCCAAACTGCATTTAAATTTTTTAAAAAAACTTTTTAGAAATCTTTTAGAAATTTTTAAAATTTTTTGAAATTTTTACAATTTTTTGAAATTTTTACAATTTTTTTTGAAATTTTAAAAATTTTTTAATTTTTTATAACTTTTAAAAATTTTTAGAAAATTTCAAAAAATTTTAAAATCTTTTAGAAACCTTTTTTTCATATTGATGTGATATTGATGATGTGATATAAATTAAATTTTTTGACATATATCAATATTTTATCGAATGTTCATGTCATATCAATATTTTTGTTTGACGGTATTAAGAATTATGATAATTTAATATATGAAAATATAATTTAAGTACAAAATTAAAAAAATTTTTATTTAAATATTACATTAGAAAAAATACAATAATTAAGAAGCCATAGGGGACATTATCCCTTGGTACTACGATTTTCTTTCTTTTGTCCGATGTTCCGTCTCTTTCTTCATTCATTTCCGACGCAACTTGTAATAGAATTGAAACATTTCTCAAATTTGTTTGCTATAAATATCACTTACACAAACACTTAATTAAGCACGCAACACTTGTTATTCTTTTCGACCATCTTTCCTTCATATAGATTTTGAGCCATGGCAACACCTTCCAGTACTTCTCTTTCATTTGCTATCCGTAGATCCGAACCCGAACTCGTTGCTCCAGCCAAGCCCACACCACATGAATACAAACTATTATCCGACATTGATGATCAAGAGAGTCTCCGGCTCCAAATTCCGGTGATCCAATTTTATCAGTACGATCCCTCCATGCAAGGGAGGGACCCTGCTAAGGTTATTAGGGAGGCACTTAAACAAACCCTTGTGTTTTATTATCCATTTGCTGGTAGACTAAGGGAAGGGGCTAACGGTAAACTTATGGTGGATTGCACTAGTGAAGGAGTGTTATTTATTGAGGCCGATGCTGATGTTACCCTTGAACAGTTCGGTGATGCACTTCAGCCACCATTTCCTTGCTTTGATGAGCTCCTTTATGATGCTCCGGGCTCTGCAGGGATGATAAATTGCCCATTGTTGTTGATTCAGGTACCCTTTTTATCCGAGCTCTCATAAACTTTGACATCACTTTTTTTTTCTTCTTTGGAGTTCAATTAAACAACCTGGGAATGAATTAACTGTCTCCCAAGATGTATACTTGAACTAGAAATGAAGATCATAATATATATTTTTTTCAAGTAGACTTTTTAATTAATAGATAAAACAGAGACTACATCATCCAGGGATAGCAAGCTATAAGTTGCCAGACCTCTCGAAAAGTGAACAAAAGGAGTTGTTTAAATCGCTAACTCACAATTAAAAAATTCGCTTCGTAGGATTTTAAGTTCTATTTACGCCTGATTCGGTGAGGCTATCAGCAAAATTATTTATCTCTTGTGATGTATGAAAATTTTTATAAAATTTTTAATTGTTGTTTCAAAGTTTTCAAATGCAACATGTGCATATACCAAGCAAATTTTCTTATCAAGATCACAATTAAAAAAGAAAAAAAAATAAATTCGTAAGCAAATTTTATAACCAATCGTACATGGACAACTGTTCACACTCGACGGTGATTTCAAGTAAGAGTACTTCAAACAAATTTTCGCGTTTCCTACTGAAATTTGTGTGGTGAGCATCTAGTCCACCGACACCTCTGGGTACCACTAGGGGTGTAATCGAGCCGACACAATGAGAAGCACGAGCTCGACTCACAACTCACGACTCGATACTCGACTCAAACTCGATCGAGTTTTATTTTTCAAGCTCAAGCTCGATTCGTGATCGAATTCAAGCTACTCGAGCTCGCTCGATTAAGCTCGATTAATATGTAAAAATAAGCTCGATTCGTATACTTGATAAGAGTTCGATTATTTATGTTCGAGCTCGAAATCGAATTCGAAATAGTTTATTAATTAAAATAATAAAAATATATTTAAATATAAAAGCTCGATTAGGCTCGCAAGTAACTCGAGTCGGATATAAGAATACTCGAATTCGACTCAATCGATAAGTCGAGCTACTCGAGCTCAAGCTCGACTCGATAATAATCAAACCGAATTCAAGTTTTCTTCGAATCGAATCCGAGTAGCTTGCGAGTACTAATATATCATTTACACCCCTAGGTACCACCAATTTAATAGAGCTGATGAATCCGCCAGTACCTCGTATTCAAATAGGACAAGATTTATTAGAAGTTTGTAGAGGAAGTTTGAGATTTTTTAAAAAAATTTAATTTAATAAAAATTTTAATAAAAAATTTAAATTGATAAAATTTAATATGAAAATTAATAATATATAAAATATTATTTATAGTTTAAATTTAATTGATATTTTTCAATGATAAAAATTTTATTAATAGTTTTATTAAAAATATTTATTTAAAAAATATATTAAAATTTTTTTAAATTTAATAAACTTTATTTATGTGATGAGATTTTAATTAATTAATTTTGATTTTTAATTTTTAATTTAATTTAATCATTTTTGGAAAAAAAATTTTACAAATTTTACTTAAAAATTTTTATTTAAATCTTTCGCTATTGGAATAACATAAACTAAAACTTTTAGTACTATCTAGAGTAATTTTAATTGAAGAGATCAACCAAGAAACTTGCTTGCTAATTGGTACTGTCAAAAAAATTTTAATATTATCTAACAAAGGCAAAATTAAGTGATTATAAAGAAAGAAATCACATGCTCTCTATATTTCAAAGTTCAAAACAGTTCAATTTAATTATATAAAAAATTATATATTATAGTTATTTTTATTGATTATTATATTTCACATGTACTTATGTTTTTATGTGTATATAGTATTTTCCTTAATGTATTTAATGTTCTCATCTAGGTTTTTTTTTTTTTTGTCTGCCCATCTAAGTATTAAATGGTTCAAAATAAAAGCATATAAAGGTATGATGTACGAAAAATAAAGATTTAATATCTAATAATTTGTATATTTGTGTACTTTTAAATTTTTTTAAATAAAATTCATTTTTATATTATTAATTGATTATAGGTAACACGGCTAAAATGCGGTGGTTTCATCTTTGCCATCCGCTTCAACCACGTCATGAGCGACGCCGCTGGCCTAAAACAATTCATGTCCACCATGGGCGAAATGGCACGTGGCTTGGTTACAACCTCGATCCCACCCGTATGGGAAAGACACCTCCTAGATGCTCGAGACCCACCACGAGTCACTTTCACACACCACGAGTACGACGAAGTGGAAGCCAACATTAGCACCCAGTTACCGGACAACCTGGTCCAACGTTCCTTTTTCTTCGGCTCCTATGAAGTTCAAGCTCTTCGAAAGCTGCTCCCACCCCACCTTCGCCAATGCTCCAAGTTCGAACTATTAACAGCTTGCTTATGGCTTTGTCGAACCATTGCTATAAATCCTGACCCTGACGAAGAAGTGCGCATGCTATGCTTTGCTAACACACGTTCCAAATTTAATCCTCCATTGCCATTGGGATATTATGGTAATGCCATCGTGTTCCCAGCAGCAATAACAACAGCTAGAAAACTTTGCCAGAATCCATTGGGGCATGCAGTGGAACTAGTGAAGCAAGCCAAGGCAAGCGTGACGGAGGAATATGTGAAATCAGTCGCTAGTTTGATGGTGATTAGGGGTAAACGGCTGCACTTCCCAGCAGTGATTGGTTCCTACTTGATATCAGATGTAACAAAATTTGGACTCGATGACGTCGATTTCGGGTGGGGTAAGGCAGTGTTTGGAGGACCAGCAAAAGGTCTTGGAGTGATAAGCTTTTTCATACGAGCCAAGTATATGAAAGGCGAAGTTGGAACTTTGGTGCCGATTTGTTTGCCAGCACCGGTCATGGAAAGATTTGCTAAGGAATTGGACAACATGTTGAAGGGTAAATCATTTTTTATTTCATCTGCTATGTGAAAGAAATAGAAATGTGACATGAAGAGAGAATGTGTGGTATCATGATACTCTTCTTTAAATTGCAAGGCTCTTGCCCAGTATATGTTTCTTCCCCAATATGTTGTAGCTAATAACCACTTCATGATAAATAAAAACGAGGAACAATTAATTTAATGATTTCAGAAGAACTAAAACAACTTTATGCATGAATTAATCCTTAAGGTTGTTGATTAGCAATTTGAGATTAATTATGTAGCATAATATTGCATTTGAAAACTCAAATTCGGATTTGAATTTTTTCTTTAGATATTATTTAAATTTAAAATACAAGAACTTGGAATTTTATATTCCAAAAAATTTAAGATTAGAAGTTTCAATTTTTTTTTTTAAAGAAGTTTCATATTACAAGTTAAAAAATTAAGATTATAGTAAAATAACTTTTAATATGTATCAAATAGTATATGCATAGAAGAATCGATATATAAGCAAATATCAATTAAATAAACAAATGATCAACATTAAGTTGGAATAAACTCGCATATTAACATGACTTGGACGCGAGACGTAAAGGTTTCAAAGCCTTCTCGTTACTATTGAGAAGATTACTTGCACACGAAAGGGCTGAATTTAGTGCAGCAGGTCTAGAAGTAGTGGGAATTATACTGGAGCAATGGAATAAGGGAGGAGAAGTAGTCTTTGAGGTAGTAGAAGAAGATTTAACATCTGAAAATGAAAAATGTAATTCACTAAACACTACATGTTGAGATGTGTAGCATTTTCCCTGAAGCAATATAAAGATACTTAAATCCTCTATGATTTGGACTATAACCAAGAAAGACATATGCTAATGATCTAGATTGTAGTTTGTTAGAATTATGTAGTCAAATTCACGTTTTACATTAATTTTTTAAGAAAAAAATTTATCATTTATAAATATTATAATACAATTAATAAGTAACAATTTAACATTATTTCGAGTCCACATATATAAATGATAAATTTTTACATAATTTTTTATTATGATTAATTAATGTGTTTATGAATCTTAAAGATAAAAAATTATTCCTTCTGTCTCTTCTTTTTTTTTTTGTCTATCCCTTTTTTCTTTTAGGATATTTCAAATTTATGTCTTTTTTTTAAATCTAAAATTTTTACTTTTTTATATTTTATGATTTTTTTTACTTTTTGACATTAAAAATTATGAAATTTAATTCTATAAAAAATTGAATTTTAATATTAAATACATTAAATTAAGTCAAAAATTTTTCTGAAACTCCGCAAAAATCAATACCTTCCAAACAAATTGAGACAGGAGCAAAAAAAAAAAAAAAAAATTGAATGCCTTTAAATGTTGTTTGGAAACTTTTTCATCAATAAAATTGATAAATTTATCCATAATTTTTTATTTACATTACAAATATATACCCTTAAAATATTCTAAATATGCCGCCATACTTTCATTAGGTCAAATATGATCTATCTCGACAAATTTTAGCCTCGAATCAATTGGTAGTTCTAGATGAAGTTAGACTCAATTGATAGAGTTTTTTTTAATTATTTTTAAAAATATGATGAAAGGATAGTTGGACCAGTGCAAATTTGGCAATAAGGCTACTAGAAGTGGCAGTTGAAGAGAATAAAAAAAATTAAGGGTATAGTAGTAATTGAAGTTAAACCATTGGGGTGTTCTAAATACACCACAAAATCTTCTTATACACCTTCAAATTTTTTTCCAAAAATATCCACATAACAAATACTAATTTTAACTTTTAATAAATGATAAAATACCCTTAATAGCTTATACACTTCAAAACCATTTTCGTATATCTCAAAAATGAATATCTGAGATTTATACTATGTTTTCGATAATTCATTTTTAGAACAAAATATAATTTTTGAAAATCTTTTTCTCAAAATAAAATAAAACTTTCGAAAATCTATTTCTAAAAATTATAATGTATTCTCATAAATGAACTTATGTTAGTAATCATGTACTCTTGAAAATTCATTTTCGAGAATACATAAATTTTTGTTTGTATATATATTTAATTATAAACTCTAATGATTTCTCTTTGGTGTAATTCCGATAATAGAGACCACTAATCTCTAGGCCACCAGCATCCTAATGACCAAAATATTAGAGACCTTTATTATTGGATTTGTCAGTCAGCTAATAACATTATTAGAATAGGATGTTCGAGCTCGGACTAGCATGTATGCACACACATAAGTCATTGATGTGCCCATTCTTATTCGATCATATGTGCAAATGGAAGATACAAAGTTCTCAAGCATGCATGAAATAAAAATGCTTTTGTCCTAAGCCCAAAAAACTAAAAACGATTTCAATTTATTTCATGCATGTTGAAAACATTGATTTCAATTTCATTTGCACACATAATCAAGAAAATGGATTAATAAAGGCATGATTAAGATTTTTTAATGATTAAATGTAAAATCGAGCTTTTCGTAAATAAAAATTTGAGAAGTCTCAAATCTTTTTGGAAATGAATATCTAAGAAGATTTGAATTCCGAGAAAATTTGAAATTTCTTGAAAATGAATATCTGAAAATTCTTAAAGTTTTTTGCATATCTATTTTCAAAAGGTTCAATTTCAGAATGTGAATAGAGAAGAAAAGAGAAAGGGTAGGAATAAAAAATAAAAAGTCAAAGGTGGGGTGTATTTAGTATTAATAAGAAAATGGGTTTTGAAAATTTTGATATATTTAGAATCGGGGTGGGTGTATTTTACATTTAATGGGGTGTAAATAGAATTCTCCTAACCCATTTCCTTCCTATTAAAATTTTTTTGTATGGTTACAAATTGTAAATACTGTGAATCCATTATTTTGTTTTGTAAAGATTTCTCAAAAATAGATATCCGAGAATATTTAAATATTCTCAAAAATAAATATAAAAAAAACTTTGAAATTTTTTGGATATCCATTTTTGAGAAATTTGATTTTAGAAAGCGAATAAAAAAGAGAAAAAAAGTAGAAACAGAAAATAGAAAGTTAAAAATTGGGTGTATTTAGTATAAATAGAAAATTGAGTTTTGAAATTAGAGTGAATTTAGAATTGAGGTGTATAGCATTTAATGGGGTGTAAATAGAGTTCCTCTAAACCATTTCCTTCTTATTAAAATTTTTTTGCATGGTTTCAAGGGAAGGAGCTGCGGGCAGGATGGGCACCATGCTTTGGCTGCCAATGCAATCAGCAATCTCTCTGGCTTGCCTCATGTTGTTCGCACTGATCCCCAACTTCCCCTTCTCAGTAATGGTCAAAAGGTACTTACCCAATAGACTAAAATTTCTGTTTACTACATCAAAGTTCATGACCATCCAGAATAAATGACGCTAGGAAGTCTTATCCATTTATTGTTGGATTTTTGTTGCGTCCTTAAACTTTTGCCCTTCCCCACATTGTGAATCCCTCCAAGGATTTAGCTGCTTATGGCTATGGAAGTGTTGCTTGGAAGGAGAGGATGGAGGCTTGTAAACAAAGAGAAGAACAATTACAAATGACGAAGTCTGGTAATGGTGGCGAAGATCCGCACTCTGAAGGCCTTGATTTACCATTGTAAGCCTCCTAGTAGACCCTTTTATTTAATTTCATTTTGGGGTTTTTTGTAATAACTCAGATATAATTTCAGCACAATTTTCTTTCCATATTTGCTCCTAAAAAACAGGCAAGCATTGATGTTATGATGCTTGAAACCATTATTATTTTCTTCACAAAATAATTCGTGAATTATGAAATTCAATTTAGTAGTCATGTGATGGTTAATACAATCCCTCTTAAGCTCCCACATCTACCATGGACCATGCAACTTTGATAAAAGACTGTTTTACCTTTATTATTATTATTATTTTGATGAATCTTTTTATTAATAACATTTCAAGGGTCTTTTTATTTACAAACATTAAAATTGACATTGTAGCCCAATGAATATTAGAACTGTTCACGTGATAACAGTGTAAAAAATCTTTTTTAAAATTTTCGAAAACATTATAAAAACACACTAAGCAAACATATAATTACTATAGTTCTCAAAAAAATTAGACAAAAGCATAAAACACAAACAAAAACAAACCCAAATACATCCTAGATGTTTTTTATTTATCCAAAAGCTGGAAGGAACTTGTTAGATAAGAAAAATGCTTTCGGTATTAATAGTGCTCAACTTCCTTCTTTTTTTTTTTAAATTTGAAGTCGTCAGGATTTAAACTTTAATTATTGAAATTAAAGGTTTAACACTTTAGCATCAATCAATTAGTGGCTGTTGGCAATAATTTACATGCTTTACTTCTTGTTTGATTACAAATAATTTCTTGGCTAATTGAATACTTGCTGCCTGTTGATCAGAATGGACGAGGCTAGACAACCATTGTCAAGAAAGTTGCCCATTCCATCAAGCCAAATCAACCCTTACCGGATAATCATCATAATTCGACTTGTAGTTCTTGGATTTTTCTTTCACTATCGAGTCATGCACCCGGTGAATGGTGACTATGCTTTATGGCTTGTATCAGTCATTTGTGAATTCTGCTTTGCTCTTTCATGGATTCTTGATCAATTCCCAAAATGGCTTCCAATTGACCGGGAAACTTATCTGGATAGATTATCCTTAAGGTAAGTTTTCTATAAAGTGTTCATATATACTCATGAAATAGTTATTAAAGTCTAAATTTTGAACTTGGGGCTTAGGCGAAATTTTTCACCACCTTTCTTAGGAAGTAGTTTCCAGCAAGGTTGGGCTTCGATCCCTGGCACTTACAAAATCCCCTTCCTCAATTCCTCTTAGCCCTTGGCCTCCCATATACAAAAAAGGTCTAGATTTTGACTACTGCTCTTTTTTTTTTTTTTTCTTTTTCAGGTATGAGAAGGAGGGGGAACCTTCTCAACTTGCTCATGTTGACATATTTGTAAGTACAGTTGATCCATTAAAAGAATCCCCACTGGTGACTGCAAACACTGTTCTTTCCATTCTTGCAGTGGATTACCCTGTTGATAAGGTCTCATGTTATGTTTCTGATGATGGTGCTGCTATGCTAACATTTGAGGTACTGTCAGAAACTTCTGAATTTGCGAGGAAATGGGTCCCCTTTTGTAAGAAGTATAATATTGAACCACCGGCACCTGAGTGGTATTTTTCTCAAACGATGGACTATTTCAACGATAAGTTGTTGCAGTCATTTCTGAAGGAAAGGAGAGCATTGAAGTTAACAACATTTCCAACGTCATTGAATTTTATTCTATTATTTATGGCTGATCACATGGCAACCCCAATGCCAATTGTAACTGTAGAGAGAGTATGACGAGTTCAAAATTCGGATCAATGCTTTGGTTGCCAAGGCTCAAAAGGCTCCAGTAGAAGGGTGGGTTATGCAGGATGGAACTCCTTGGCCTGGGAATAACATTCGAGATCATCCTGGAATGATTCAAGTATGTCTATGTTGCGCCTGAAGCAATAATCACAACAATACAGAAGCAATAGACAACAATCAATAATCAAATGTGCAGGAAAAATAAAGCACACCAAGATTTACGTGGAAAACCCTCCAGTGTAGAGGGAAAAAACCACGGGCCGCCAGAAAAATCTTCACTATCAAATAATAGTTATACAAAGTTCTTCTCTAGCTAAAACTAGAGCTAATCAACAACTAGAGAACAATTGGAGAAATCTCACCAAATAAGTGACTCAACAAATACACCCTGGATTTGTTCCTAGAGAGCTTCAAACCCGATCTTCACCGTTCAGAATGTCAAACTCTGAATCATAAACCTCCTGACAAGGTTCCAACTCAATCGGACCACGGATCGACTTCCGTTCAACCAACTCTCCCTTCTCCTTTTTCTCTCTCTGCTTTTCCTGGCTTTTCTTCTTTCTCTGCTTGGTTTTCGACACACACCTTAAACAACCCCACCTCTTTTTTTTATTAAGTAGCTAGGGCTCTGTGTAAAATAAAAGATCAAGGCCATGGCCTTTACTTGGTCCAAAACCACTTACATGGGACTGGACCCCATTTTCCTAACAATCTCCCCCTCCAGCCCCATTAGGAGGAGATTCATCACCATAGCAGTTTCATTTGGAACTTACCTTGGCCAGGGAACTCATTCCGGCCAAGTTACTGCAAGCTCAAGCTTTTCCCTGGGAAGTATCTTAGTCAACATATCTGCCACATTTTTATCAGTATGGACTTTCTTCAATAGCATCTGCTGTTCTTCAATCACTGAACGTAACCAATGATATCTAACATCAATGTGCTTTGTTCTAGCATGGTACATGGTATTCTTACTCAAATCTAAAGCACTCTGGCTATCACAAAATACCACATACTCTTTCTGATTCAACCCCAATTCAAAAAGAAAACGTTTCATCCAAAGCATTTCTTTACATGCTTCAGTTGCTGCAATATACTCAGCTTCTGTAGTTGACAAAGCAACACACTTCTGCAACTTAGACTGCCAAGATACAGCTCCTCCTGCAAAAGTGAACAAATACCCTGAAGTAGATTTCCTACCATCAAGATCGCCTGCCATGTCAGCATCAGTAAACCCTTCTAGAATTGGTTGTGAAACTCCATAAGTCAAACACATTTTTGAGGTACCCCTCAAATATCTAAAAATCCATTTTACTGCTTCCCAGTGAACCTTCCCTGGATTAGAAAGAAATCTGCTCACTACACCAACTGCATGAGCAATGTCAGGCCTTGTACAAACCATAAGATACATTAAAGAACCGACTGCAGAAGAATAAGGAATACTAGACATAGCTAGTTGCTCTTCCTTAGACACTGGACAAGATTTCTTACTTAGATGAAAATGGTTGGCAAGTGAACTGCTAACTGATTTAGCATGTTGCATGTTGAATCTACCAAGCACTCGTTCAACATACTTTTCCTGTGACAACCACAGCTTTCCAGCTCTCCTATCTCGGATAATGTCCATACCAAGAATCTGCTTTGCTGGACCTAAATCCTTCATATCAAAGGACTTAGACAATTGTTCTTTCAACCTGCAAACCATACTAGCATCTTGTCCTACAATCAACATATCATCAACATATAATAATAGGATAATGAAGTTACCATTAGGGAATTGTTTAATATACACACAAGAATCTGCTGCTGTTCTTTTATAGCTATGACTCATCATAAAAGAATCAAACTTCTTGTACCACTGTCACGGAGCTTGTTTCAAGCCATACAAGCTTTTCTTCAATTTGCAAACTAAGTGCTCTTTCCCTTTCACTTCAAAACCCTCAGGCTGATTCATATAAATGTCCTCCTGCAAATCACCATGCAAAAATGCAGTTTTAACATCAAGTTGCTCAAGCTCAAGATTCAAACTAGCTGCCAATCCCAGTACCACTCGAATAGAACTCATTTTTACAAACTGGAGC